CATATCGTTACCTTAATATAGAAAGGCCCTAACTCATAGTCGTTGAAATACAAAATTTCGTAACTAAGTAAAAATTCAAAATTCCCTTTTGATTGATTATGATGCATTCATCGAATTCTAAGTCCCCACATCATTTTAAGTAATACAAATTTTTAGTTAGTTACGGTTTTTTTTTGCATTTCAGTTAGCGCCTTTCTATATTAAGGTAATGGATATGTACATTCACTCAATTTGTAAACTTTCTCCAAATAGCCCATTGCATTTACACGCAAAATTACTTTCCATATGGTACATATGGCAAGCTTAGTCAACCGACATGCACCAAGTGTTAATTTCTTTGGAGGTTCTCACGCTGGTCTCATTCGTGTTCTAAAATCAGTTCTTTGAGTTATACATATGTACTCATTCGACATCTATTTATAATTTTTGCAATTGATAATTATTGTTAACTATTTACGTTTTTAAATTGGTACAAAATTTTACTTTTTTATTATGTGTAAAGCCGATTGGCGTTTCAATAAATAAATAAATAAATAAATAAATATGTATGTACATACATATGTGCATGCTCTTATACAGATTTGCAAAAAAGAAACCAAAATCGGGTTTTATTAGTCATTGTTGGGCTTATTTTATAAAGTGAATTTCGCAAGTAGGATAGTTTATCGAAGGTAAGCGCCAATGAAGTTTGTAGTGAGGAAATTATTTTTGAAACAACTTGAAGGATCTTCAAAATTGGTTTAAGATTCAGGACTTCTGTTATAAGTTTGGTTATTTTCTTATTTTACACGAATTTGGATACCGACAAATGTGGACATGCATTCAAATTGCTTTGAAATTTGTAACTGGATCATCATTGGCGCTTGGTAATTATCAATAGTAGTTTAAACTACATCGATTATTGGGCACATTGAAATATTTAAAACTATCAAAAATACCGTAATATAGAAAGCCGCTAACTATATTTCTTTCCGAATTCAGCTTTGTAGAAATGTGGAGGCATTGCTCCTTAAGGACATGATGGAATTTGAAAAAAAACTACTACACCAATAAATTAATTTCAGTGACTATTAAAAATCACGGTTTAGAAAAAATTCCCAAATGAAAAACTTTTTTTATACAGTTTTGTAACTACTCTGTAAAGAAAAAAATACCTTTCTCTTTTAAGGTAACAATATTAACTTATCGCACGTTTAATAATAAAGAAAATTAAATCAAAATTTATTTTTTGGAGATTTTAGCATACAATTAAAACGGATAACTATGTCCAGTGTAACAAATAACTAACTCGCTAAAGAAGGGGAAGATATCTCCTGTAATAGAATAGAACCCAGTAACTAGAAAGCTTTTGTTGTAGTTTCTTTTTTCAAAATCTTGAAAAAAACATCTTTATGCGCTTCTATAATTTTTTTCTGTCTTGTTTCTAGCGTAGTGAAATAATAATAATAATAGTATATTGTTTCACTATGGTTTCTAGCAGCCATAAAGTAAAATTTACAATTTACAAAAAACCAGTTACTTGGTTCTGTTCTATTGCAGAAGATATGTATGTGTCTACGTCTGTTTTTTTTTTTTGTTTGTATATGAGTTGATCTAACTTTGATTGAGTTTTCTCAAAAAATTTATAATTATTTTCTATATGTAGATTAAATGTGGGATATTTTATCGAATATACATACACTCACCAGAATATGTTTCCGTACAGTGTTCTTTTTTTTAATATTTGCAATGTTTTTGGTAATGAATTTTTGTCGTTAATTTTTAATAGAAATATAGTTCATTCTGCATCAAATGGCATATACTAAATTAAGTTTTTACAAAATTTAGGAAAAATCGACAAATTCTCAAAAATCAACGGTAGTTTATAGCCACTTAAAACTTGTACTTTATTATACTGAAAATGCATCAACTACAAAACTGCATACTCAAAAAAAAATCTAAAAAATTACAGCACTGTTGTTATTGCCTAAGGAGCCCGTCTTCGTTTTTTCGACTCTTGACTGATAAGAGTTTTTTTTTATTTATTATACTATTTATTGTCAAAACTATTGGACATAGTTATATTTGGAAAAGGCTATAGTGAACAATATGCATTTGAATCATATCCATGCTTTAAAACCTTTTTTCTACTCTTTTGCAGGTTATTGTGGAGAAGGCGCCCAAAGCACGCATTGGCGATTTGGATAAAAAGAAATATTTGGTACCATCTGACTTAACAGTTGGCCAATTCTATTTTTTTGATTCGTAAGCGTATACATTTGCGCCCGGAAGACGCACTCTTCTTTTTTGTCAACAATGTAATTCCACCAACATCGGCAACAATGGGATCTCTTTATCAGGTAAAAAAATAAAAATTGCCGATTATTTTGTGATCTTTGTTGTTATATAATACCTATTTCCCAGGAACATCATGAGGAGGACTATTTCCTGTACATCGCCTATTCCGATGAAAATGTTTATGGCAAAAATTAGGGCGCATTTACCTATGGGAGGACGGACAAGTTGGCAGAGCAGCATATGTGAAGAGATTACTGTATTGCAAAGGAAAACAAAAAGAAACATTTGAAAATTTTATGTGGATACACATATGCTATAATGATTTAAATACTTTGGGGTGTATGAAGAAAATTTTAGTTTAGATAACTCGATGGAAAAATCAGAATTGATGAAATTCTCTTCAGCAAGATATGCGACAGAAAATTTAATAAATTTCAAATATGAATACAACAAAGTATAATAAAATCAATATAATATGCTATATGTATATAAATATATATTCAATAAATATATATTATATATATGTACTAATTTACGAATGTAGCTCTAAATATTAGTTATAAATGTTTTAAGCCGATTAAATTTACATTTTATGCGGCATCTTTTGTCTACACTATCATTGATTTAGCCTTTTCTGTTTTAATTGGAAAATTAATTTTTAAACTCGAAATTCCACCTTTTCTTGTGTAAAACATTGTTGAATTGAATCGGCCTTATCGGGAACTCCGTGTGAACAATTTTCCCCAAAAATTATAAAATAAAACAAGAACAACTTTTCCCAATTTGTTTTTGTTTTGCTTGTAAAATCTTGTGAAAAATTTATTTACATGGAATTGGCGATAGAGCTGAATGTTTTTTCTTAATCTCTTGCACGTACATATAAGTTCGTTTCTATTTTGGTATTTTGGCTTTTTTAAGCCGATGTAATGGTTTTTTATTTTTAGAGTTGATGTTTTGTTTTACAAACGTAGTTAAGGTTTTGAGTTTCGAAATAAAGCAAATTCGTGGCTTACGATATTCTTAAAATAATTAATGGGCTTTTTATTAAGAGTTCAACGGTCATTTTTTAAACAATACTGCGAACAACCAAAGCTGGTTGCAAGGTATTTCAGCCTTCACGCGGTATTATTTATTTTAAAGGGTTAGGGTAAATGCATCCCAGCAATTAAACACATCTTGGTATTTATGAAGAAAAATACAAAGTAGGTATAAACTAATGCGTGTTAAATCTTTACTTTACTAACCACCGAACACGGTATTATGGTAAATATGGGGGGTTCTAATAGATGTCTATATAAAGTTTCAAAACGCTGAACCTTATTGATTTAAGGAATTTGTTGTTAAATTACCCTTCTAAAATTGTTCCAATTTGTTTATAGTACGTTATTTATTCATTCAATAATTTATACATACATATGTATGTGGGGCTAAGGCATGATTCAATAATGATAATAATAATTGAATCATGGGGCTAAGAAAATTTCTTCCAAATTTTAGTCAAATACAAAACTTTCGGAGCTTATGGCAACTCCTCATAGCAGCTGATTGTCAATTCGCTCGATATGTCAGTGCTGTCATTGCTCTACCTTCTTTCTTTGTTTGATTTGTTTGTAATTATCTTTCAACTGACATTCGTGTTTTTTCGGAGTTCATTTTTGCGGTCCCAGTTGATGATGAATTTTGCGCTGGGTTGTTTGTTTTCGATCCTTGGCAGTGGATGGAATTGTAGTAAAAATTTTATTAAATGTTAAATAACGTTGTAAATACATGCAAATTTGAAAACGCGTAAAGTCAAATAAATTACTGAAAAAGGTGACGGAAAGCAAACAAACAAAAGCTGTAACTAACTTCGAATTACCAGAAATCTAAAAGGTAAATGCAAAGTCATGTGTTACGATAGTGCTAATTTGTGAAACAGCACGAAAGCGTTTTCCTGTATTTAAATATAAATACATATTAGGGTGTTTGTTTGTGGCCTAAAACTATTAATCTGCATATATATGTTGTTAAATATTTTGTGGTTACTGGTTTTTACCGATTTCGATTACGTGTTAAATTGGAGAAGTATCGTGAATTAAAAACAGGCGCGACGAGGGTGAAAAATTGATTTTCCCTGGGTTTTGTAACCTTACAAATGCCGGAGTTGTTGGATCACCCGTAAACTATATCTGATATGTACAAAGTTATATTTAGGTATGTGTATTTCCTCCCTTCGTGCAGTAATAAAATGCACTAAAGCAAGCTACGGTGAGTCAAGTAGACCGTTGTTAAGCCGCCAAGGATAATCTTTGGCGTAGTCACGCTAAGTATGGCTCACCATTATTTTTCTGAAGAGCTCTTGCAAGTCGTGTTTTCTGTATCTGCAAGCAAGTGCAAGTAAACATTGTAAATTGTTACCACGTTGCTGTTGGTGACGCTTGCTCGACAAGCTGCAATGTATGCAGTTTTATATGTACCTATGATATGATACCTATGTATGCATGCACGTAGCTAGACATTTTACTAAATGATTATCGAGGGCGGATCGTGTAGAACGGAAGAGGTGTAATTTTAAATATATACATACATACATCTTGCTTTGAAGGTGTGGCATGCTGATTGTGAGGATGCCATTAGTTTACATCTTAGGAAATCGTGTTAAAATTGGCATTGGCAAAATATTTTTCGAGCGTCCGCCAAATTTTCTGCCTTGTACATACATTCCAACGCGCATCCATGTATAGATGAGCCTTGATACATTCGTAGCATGTCTTACATGTGCTAACGGCCCAAAAGTGCCTCTCATTTGTTAGCCGCTGTTCGTTAATTTCGAGGCCGTTTTGGTTTTGTCAATTTATAGTATGTATTGCTGCTTCGCTTCACTCGACATATACATAGTATGTGGTTTCGTCTCATTGGTGCGCCGGTATTGCATGATGATCTCTTTTACAATTGTATTGTTTATTTAGTTCTCCTCTCTTTGCCACTAAATATTATTTTATGTTATATTGAGCGATATTCATATATTAGGCTTACTATTAAAAAACTTAATAAAAAAGCATTATATGCAAACCATTGTGTCACATGCACACACGATGGTTTGTCGCCTTGCATAGTCACTCTTGTTAGTGTGAACTATTTAGTTCAATCAACATGTAGGGCACCTCATTTGTCTTATTGAAGCACCAATTTTTGGCCAATGTAGCAGAAAATTTACCAGCAAAGCAAGGCATATATTTAAATTAAATACGCGCAGGGTAGGGACATAAATAAGTTCTTTGACGTTGGTGCTGTTCAAAGCTCATTTTCCGGCTGATTTTACCCCGGCAAGTACTAGTGGTGCTAAAACGGCTACAAATGCTAGGATGTCTGATACGCGCTATTCTGATTTTTCGCTTCGCATGAATCATTTTACCTCTTGATGTTGAGCAAACTTAGTTTTATATTCATTGGTCATTAGTTTTATCTCCAAATGCTGATATGTATGTATGTATATACGGAAATCCATATGTCGGCAGCGGGTGATGTACTCAATGTATTTAATAAGAAGCTCTTGAATTACGATATCACTTACAGTATTTTGTTGCAATTTGTTCTGGCCGTAGTTCAACAACCGTCGCCCTTTTAATTTATGGTCAATAAAAAATATTTTTGTCGTTTATTAAATGATTGGCTTTTGTTGTTATTGCTACCCGATTTTTGTTATTTCCAACGTTGGTGCTAGGCAGTGCGTTTTAAATATAGTAAAAGTTCAAAGTACATCCCTCGTAGTGAAACTATTGGTTTATCACATATTAGACAAAATATCTTTCCCCCTACATAAAAAATATTCACGTTCTTGTCCATAAGTTTGTTTTTAGATAGTAATTCATACGTGCATAAGATTATGACTATTAATCAGATAAGATGCTCGTCTGTACATTAGTTAAATTTGCTCAAACTAAATAAATACATACATATCTTAATTTGTATCTGAATTTTCTGTTTTTTTTCCAGCGCTGCTTGCTTTCCCTTCCTGTCTCACTATTCTTTCTGCATCAGTACTCTACTGTCTACTGCTCACAACGCTTTTTTGTGTTATCACTTAACTAAACACTTAACACTACTTTTCAACATTTTCGATCCACCTGCCTCTGTGAAATATTCGAATCTTAAATGTCACAACATTCGAAGAAGGATACGCCAACCAGCCGAAATCGCAAACAGCAGCAGCAGCAGCAAAACCAACAACAAAATGCTGACAGTGTAAAACAAAAGCCGAATGCTTCGGGCAACGCAATTACTGCGCACAGAAAGTCTAATGGCGGCACTCCTTGGACGAGTAGCGGCGCTTCGCCTTTTGGTGGCAGCATCACAACATCCACCTCTGCTCCGTCACTTATACGCAAGAAATCACAATCCAAGTTGCAAAAAGAAAAGGAGCGCTCCGAACGAGAAGGGATTGTGTTGTGGCGTCGACCCGTACAAACGGTGAGATATTGTGGCTTGGAGTTGGCCACGCTAGTGCAAACGAATGGCAAGCGGTACGTTTTGTGGTTTTCAAAATTTGTTAATATTTTAAGTAAATTCTTACCTTATAGGTTACTTCAACAACGTGGTCTACTCGCTGCAATCTTAGTTTTAGGTATGTTCCTCAGCTTTATTTGTTACCTGCCTGGCCCACACCAGATAGTGTTGGACGTTATACGACGCAATACATGGTTCATCATCTACTGGACTGGCTTAGGTGTTCTCTCTTCAGTAGGATTGGGTACCGGATTGCACACATTTTTGTTGTATCTGGGACCACATATAGCCAGCGTAACACTTGCTGCATACGAATGCAATTCGTTAAATTTTCCAAGGCCGCCATATCCAGATGAGTGAGTCCGCGAAATTTTGTAAATTAAAACGCCACGCTATATCAATTTGTGTTTCTGTTTAGTATTATCTGTCCGGAGGAGCCATATGCAAAGAAACTACCAAATCTTTGGATGATAATGAGTAAAGTGCGGATGGAAGCGTTTCTCTGGGGTGCCGGTACTGCTTTAGGTGAATTGCCGCCCTATTTCATGGCAAAGGCAGCGCGTTTATCTGGCTACGACCCCGATGACGCTGAGGAGTTGGCGGAATTTGAGGCATTGAAAGCTAAACGTAATCAGAAAAATTTAAGCTTAATGGATAAGGGCAAGCTATTTATGGAACGTGTGGTAGAACGTGTTGGATTTCTGGGCATTTTGGCATGTGCTAGTGTAAGTACAATTCAAAAAAATATACATAATATCGTAATAGCAAAGACAAGACAGCATTAAACTCAACCAATGTTCCTTTACAGATTCCTAATCCACTCTTCGACTTGGCCGGTATCACATGCGGTCACTTTTTGGTGCCATTCTGGACTTTCTTCGGTGCTACGCTCATAGGTAAAGCCATCATCAAGATGCACATCCAGAAAGTATTCGTTATTATTGCCTTTAATGAAGCGTTAATTGAACGCGCTGTCGATTTGCTTGGCAAGTTGCCCATATTGGGCAAAAAACTGCAGGAGCCTTTCAAGGGTTTCCTCAACAACCAAAAGAAACATTTGCATCGCCAACGACAGCCCGCAGCCGAATCTGGTAATTTATTGTCCAAGGTGTTTGAGACGTTCGTCATTGGTATGGTCTGCTACTTCATAATCTCGATCGTAAATTCATTGGCGCAAAACTATCACAAGCGACTACACAAAAAACATGTGAAAAAGATGAAGAAGTCGATAACAAAGGATTAGGAGCCTGCAAAGAAGACAGGCGAAGCGTCGGCAAAGGGGTAGATCCGCCGCTAGATAAGGAGCAGGAAAAAGTTAAAAAAAAAAACAGCCGGAGCATATGTGACTGAATTACGTGAAAGTGGTAAAATCCCAGAGAAATATGAGTAGTAAAGAGATGAGCTGCAAAATTTGGACTTTATATTCAAGTCTAATTGCCTATACGTCTACTAATGTTGTGTTTAGCTAAATTCCTAATCAAAAAGAGATAAGCAATCATCGCAATGGTATATTAAATAAAAAAATGGACCATCATCTGCGCGAATGGTTAAATGGAAACTAAGATGATTTAGTTAATATTTTTATTTAAATTGTGAATGCTACCTTACTTTAAATTATACAAAGTGTGTTTATTGAAGAAACTACGAAAACATAATAAACTAGTCCTAAATAATTTGTATGTATGCATGTACAAAAAACTAGGAAGAGCACATCGTGTGCAACCCCAATTTATTTAACATTAAACCTACTACACATGTAAGAATATGAGTGTGTTTTGTGTGCATTTATTTTCATGTTAACATGAAATGTATTTTCGAGTACTAAGAAAATGGAAAAGGTTGAATAAAAAGTAGTGTAGAGAAGCGGTGGCGTATAACAAATAAAAAAAAAATTAGAAATTGAATAAACAAACAAAAATTAGTTTTAGATGCGTTGCTGTTGTATTTTAGCATTAGTTGCGTGATAAATTTTTAATTAAAATATAATAGATTCAAAGAAAAATGGAATAGTTAATATAAGTACATATACATTTGGCCAAAAAAAAAACCTAACACAAAAACCCCAAAAGCGAAATAAAAAGACATTGCAAAAATTAAATGAAATGAGAATTCACAAAGAGTTAAAGAGCGCCAAAAAAGGCTTTGCCAAGAAGTTGTAAGATTATAAAATTCATGTAAATTCAAGTAATAAACTATGTAATGTGAAATATTTAATAAATGATAAACCAAAATTGAACATTTGCATACTATAAAAATAAAATAAATGAGTACATAAAAATAATTGCAGTTTTATTAATATGCGCATACGAACAAGGGTATAATTTAACATTGCTATATTATTTGGTTAGAAATCTCCGATCGTTTGGATCAGAAATGTTACTATATTTTTAAGGTACTAGTTGTGAACGTTAACTAGGGATTTAAGAATCGGGGATTAATGCTTAAAAGGTTCGATACCATATTTTTCACCAAATTTTTGTTTTTTTAGGAGATTTTTTTTACCAGGTACGTTATTTGATCAAAAATAATGATTATTTTATGATTTTTTTTATTTATTTATTATTTTATTTATTTTATGATTTTTATTTTTTCGCTCATAGATAAGAATTGTTATTAAGTTTTATTTTAGGTTTATTCGCGTATTGATAGTTTTTGATAACTATCAAAATCTATCAGATTTTCGTGTTCACGTACACAAAAATCCAGCAAAGTAGGGGAATTGAGAGACCAAATTGACATTTCATTCTAATGAAAGCTGCTAGTTTCTGCTGGAAAAATTTTTGCCAGCAAGAAAAACAGCTGATCAAAGTAATCTGTTTTCAATTTATGAAAATATGGAAATTTATTTTAGATTTAGATGTAGATTTATTATTAAGATTTTTTAAGTTTGAAATAACTTATTAGAAATGCAAATGTATCGGAAGAAAGCAAATACTCATTTACGCATGTTTGATTAGCAAATTGCTTTAGGAAAACTTTAAATTTATATTCTTTTCATGTTTTCTGTTTTATGCTTTTGCATGTAAACAAAATTTCGATCAGCTGTACTAAAAACTTGCAAGTTTTTGCTGGTTTTGCGTTCGCGTACTTTTGCTAACATTTCTCTCTTTGAGAGAGAACAGATAAAAATTCATTAGAATTTTGCTGCTGACAGTTTGCTGCTGAAAAAATACGCGAATACACCTTTTTTCACTTAAGAATAATGATCGTTCAAAAAACTCAAAAGCTATACCAGCATAATTTCTGACGTATCCTTTTCAGAAGCAGCGATAGCCGATTAAAAGGAAAAAGTCCCAACATTTTTTGGTCAAAATTGCAGTCTTTATGACCTTTTAAATTTTATAAATAATTTTATATCTGCGAAAAAATAGAACTCAATAATAGTTATTGTTTTAAGCGAAAAAATATTGATTAAAGCAGCTTTAAATTATTTTACTAACAAAACGACACGGCAAAATCAAATTTTTTTCTGCGTATTGCACCAAAACATTTTTTTAAGAGATTAGGTCATAAGTAATTAAGTAATTTCTCCGTTTTTCGAAGTTAACCTTCGAAATCGAGAAAGGGGCCTTCGAAGTTCGAAGTAAGACCTTTGGTAAAAACTTATTTTTAATTATTGGATGTAAACAACTAAAAAAGTAAAAATATAGACGAATTCATTCTTTTGCTCTTATTTAAACGGTATACAACTTTTTTTTGTGCAAACTATTATTGCAGGTGTTATAAGGGGTCAAAGGTCAGAGATCATCGAAAAATTAAAAACCGTATCTATATTTAAAAAATTTTGACCTGATTGGGGGTTTTCTTCAGATTTGCATATTTTTAAACCTCGAATATAAAAATTTGAGAAAAACACTCAAAAGTAAAAAATACCAATTCTTTCTATAAAAAAGTGATTTAAATAAAAAAATACTCATTGGTAATATTATTGAATACTTTATTTAAATAAAATAGAAATTTTCCTTTAATTTTATGTATGACTTGTTATGTAAAAAATCAAAACACATGGTGTTTTTATCAAATCAATCGCATCAGATGTTGAAAAGAAATTGATAATAGTTCTCTTGGATTAAAAAATGGCCCTCAAGACTATGAAGTCAAACTGCAATCGAACTTTTTTTTTGTGCAATAATATAAAAAGAAGTTTGTTAAATATAACTCTAATTGTTGAATATCACTATAAACATACACCTTCTTCCATATAAAAAAAAAATTGTCGAACATACTTTGCATGGAAAAAAATGCGGAACACCGTCAACAAAAAAATTGCCAAAAATCAACGGTAAGTCAAAGGTACTTCAAACTTGCACTTTCTTATAGTAAAATTTAATGGGCTACAAAACTGCATACCAAAATTATGTCTAATATGCAAATAAAATGTTAAAAGTTTTGGTCAAACATTGTAGAATTTTCACAAAGACTGAAATTTGGATTTACTATATGCTGTTTGTTAAGTAATCAGCTATACAAACTATATAATAAACATTAAATAAACTAAAGAAAAATAGCCAAGACTTTCTAAAATGTCGCGTCTCAGTTTTTATGTGGTTCACTGTATATGTAACAGAAATCAATGGCATAGAAAAATATAAGAAGACCATGTGCCTTGATTTTTTAAATAATAAGTTACATACATATATATAAAATTAAAGATAATTTACAGTTTTATTTAAATAAAGTATTCAGTTGTATTACTAATTACTAATTTTTTTGTTTAAAATATATTTTTTTTAATAAAAAAAGGTATTTTTGCTTTTAAATGTTTTTTCTAAAATTTTTATATACAAGGTATAAAAATATGCATATCACAATAAGAAGAGGGTTTGATTACTTTTTTAATTATGACCCAGCCAAGTGCTGTACAGTGTAATGATTACCCTCCCTTTTTTACGTTTTTGTTGTCGGCGGGTACAAACATATTTTTTCATACATATGTGTATCTAACCGCTCCAATAAATACTAATACCTAATTATAAAAAAAAAATACGCCTAACAATGAAATTAATGCAGTAATGGCGCAGCCAGCATGTGGCTTTATTATTGTTAAGATATCCCACAGTAAATACTAGTGACAAGTTATGACTAATAAATCAAAATAATTATACCATCTACTACAACCATGTGTATGCTATACAGTGTGTCAATTTTAATGCATAAAACATATGGCAGCATATCGATCGTCCTGTGCAATAACGACACAATTCAAATTTCTAAAAATAAAAACAGTTACTACTGTTAAGTGGCTCATGTCTCGAATCCTTGTCGAGCCCATGTCTAATCTTTTGTTCTTACTTTAGCAATCCTTGCTACTTACTTTAGTAAGGGGTGTAAATGGATTAGAAAAGGATTTGAGACAAGAGCCACTAAACAGTAATAACAGCTTTTATTTTTTGAATTTTGAACTGTGTTATTAATGCAGAGGACCATCGACTAATGTTAAGTGGCTGATGCCCCTATTTCTTTTCTAATGCTTATTACTTACTTTAGTGTACATATGTACGTGAAAAACCGCCTTGCAAATAAAAAAATTTAAAAAAATTCATTCCTCAAATTAAGCGTCCATCTAAATTAGTCACTCAACAGCTCAAATTAGCCCGCAAGTCGCCCAGCACCGAAACCCCAACAGCGCCACCATTATTTGGTTATATAAATAAATTTGCCTAAGGAACTTGTTAATTATAGCAAAGTCACCGAAAAGTGTACAAAATTGTACGCTTTTTTCACTTAAGTCACAATTGACGGTTACTTTTGGCAACGTTTATTTCGGGTTGATGCGTGCGATGCGTCCAGTGATAAGGATAATAACTAATATACATGTGCAGTAATTTTTGTTGTAAAGGAGTCGGTATTGCAAGTACATACATAGATGCATACATACAATATGTATGTACATAGCAGGCATATTTGTATGCGGTTAAAAAGGTTAAAAACCACCCTCTATTTCGGGTAGCCGTCACGCTTCAAACCAAACCAGTCTGTCTGCATTGTTGTTGTAGGCACCCCATCATGCCAAGGGTCTTCATCTAAAGTGATAAAGCGATAAATTGCTTAAATTTATCAGTTTATCGGCATTCTTTCATGAACACACCTTGGTTAATAATTGGACAAAATTATTTATTATTCAACTTGTCTGGCTAGTTACGTTTCATTCTTACCTCGTCCATTTTGCTAATTTGCTTTTTATGTGTTCGTAGCAAAATCGAACACCTGGCAGTCTGTCAGGATTGCATTTTACTGAAATTTATACGTTTATCCACCCAAATCGTTTGATAAAGTGATAAACTTTGGTTAAATAGATGTCCTTACAAATTTTGACAGTTCATTTATCAAAATTATAAATTTATCATTTTATCAAGTTTGTCAAGGGTTTATCACTTTTGATGAAGACCCCTGCTGTGCAACTGAGTAACCGACTGTCAAGGTAGTAACGGGTGATTTTTTTGAGGTTAGGATTTTCATGCATTAGTATTTGACAGATCACGTGGGATTTCAGACATGGTGTCAAAGAGAAAGATGCTCAGTATGCTTTGACATTTCATCATGAATAGACTTACTAACGAGCAACGCTTGCAAATCATTGAATTTTATTACCTAGAAAAGTTGGCAGAAAATCCGCTTTTTTATCGACAAATTTTGTTCAGCGATGAGGCTCATTTCTGGTTGAATGGCTTCGTAAATAAGCAAAATTGCCGCATTTGGAGTGAAGAGCAACCAGAAGCCGTTCAAGAACTGCCCATGCATCCCGAAAAATGCACTGTTTGGTGTGGTTTGTACGCTGGTGGAATCATTGGACCGTATTTTTTCAAAGATGCTGTTGGACGCAACGTTACGGTGAATGGCGATCGCTATCGTTCGATGCTAACAAACTTTTTGTTGCCAAAAATGGAAGAACTGAACTTGGTTGACATGTGGTTTCAACAAGATGGCGCTACATGCCACACAGCTCGCGATTCTATGGCCATTTTGAGGGAAAACTTCGGAGAACAATTCATCTCAAGAAATGGACCGGTAAGTTGGCCACCAAGATCATGCGATTTGACGCCTTTAGACTATTTTTTGTGGGGCTACGTCAAGTCTAAAGTCTACAGAAATAAGCCAGCAACTATTCCAGCTTTGGAAGACAACATTTCCGAAGAAATTCGGGCTATTCCGGCCGAAATGCTCGAAAAAGTTGCCCAAAATTGGACTTTCCGAATGGACCACCTAAGACGCAGCCGCGGTCAACATTTAAATGAAATTATCTTCAAAAAGTAAATGTCATGGACCAATCTAACGTTTCAAATAAAGAACCGATGAGATTTTGCAAATTTTATGCATATTTCTTAAAAAATCACCCGTTATGTACATTAGGGTGGCCTTAAATTTATTTCCTCCAGCCACCCCCCAGATCTGAAGAATTTGAAAAATAAGGAAGCACGTATTTTTTTTTTTAAATCTTAATAAAATTAGTTATTTTAAGCACGAAGAGCACAATGGACGTGTATAATTCTTCTTTGCATTCTACTCGATGTTGTCCGTAGGTTTGTGGTAAAAAATTTTGAAAAATAAGGTTGCCCGATATTTGAAAGTTTAAAATTATTTAATGGTCAATAAAATATTTAAGTCTCTTTATCAAAACTAAAAGCGTTTGAAGATATTTAAAATTTTTTTTGAACGGGGTTGCCAACTTTATAAAAAAATAGAACAATGATTTAAAAAAAATTAAAGCATATATATTTTATACCACAATACGGGTAGCACACGAAAGGTGTACGCATAAGCTTTGGACTAGGTAATTATGTCTTTGGTTTGAAACTCATATTTTACTTAACTGCATGTAGCATGATTTGAAAAATTGTTTATTATAGATAAATGGCAACCCTATCCAAAAATATATGTGAATTTAAGTATGTATTTTCAAAAACCTCTGCTGGGAGTGCATAAACCTACCATTTGATACCCATATTGTGGTATTAAGTTAGCTTAAATTTCTAAAAAATAGCCGTTGTTGTATCTTTTGGAAAGGTGGCAACCCCGTACAAACATGTTTTAAAATCTCTTCAAACGCTTTAGCTTTTAGATGAAACTTAAATATTTTATTGAGCCCCTAAATAATTTTTAATTTTCAAGTATCTGGCAACTCTGCTTTTCAAAATTTTTACCACATTGAGCTGTTCGCGCATGATGTGGTTATGAAAACATAAAATAACTAATTTTTGTATATAACAGAAAGGATTATCGGTTATTAAGACAAACTTAGTGAAATTGTTAAGTGAATTAAGCGTCATAGTGTTATTTTTTGAAGACTTCTTAAGGGAAACAGTCTTATTCGATGCAAAAATATTTATTTTTAAGGATTTTATAGCAATTCTACGAAAAAATTTATTTTCCCGATGTAAAATATAAGGGAAAATTCGAACCCCCAGCCCGGGTAAATTTTACCAGATTTGAAAAAAAAAACACGTGTCTCCTTATTTTTAATATTCTTCAGTTATGGGGGGTGGCAGCAGGAAAAATCAAAACAGTTGATTTTCCTATGTATTTTTGAGCACCCCTAATGTACATATTTATGTATTCGTAGCAGCATGGAAGCATGCATTGCTACCGGATGCTCTGAAGCAGCTAACTAGAAGGGGGCCTGTACAGTGGGGATATTCATAGAGTTTATTGAGACGACGGCATTCGTTACGTTAGTTTATTGAATGTTATGTTATGTTATGCCGTGTTATTTTATCTTTTGTTATTCTATTTTATTTAACTTAATTTTAATGCAATTTTTTATATTATTTAATTTAATTTTTTTTTCAATTCGTTCATATATTTCGCTGTATTAGGTGAACAAACCTATCGTTACTCTTTGTAATATGCCTCCTGTTATCCGTATTCGTTGGAGACACGAACGTGCTATGCCAACATGGCCGAACATTCATGCACATTTACCCCCACATTTACATACATTCTTACATTAGTGTTTGTGTGAATGACAGCTGTTTCGCCTTGTGGGGATGATAACGCACGCATACAATTACACTAAAAATCGTAGTGGGGTTTTTGGCACTAAAGCGATAGTGTTTCATTATGACAAAGATTTTCTTGTGTTACTCTTGTTGTTGTTGTTAATTTTTTTCGGCGCGTTCAAGTGCGTTCGACTGTGCAACAGGCGAGTGTATCGTCGGCGGCTCAGACTGGCAGCACTCCAGACACCGATTGTTTAGTTAGGCACTCAGTACATTGCCGCCGATTGAAGAGGGCGTATCGCAGACGCCAAATAGCGGAAAAATAGCAGAAAATGAGCAGAGAAGTAATAAAAAATCGCCAAAAATAGCAAAGAATATGTTAATAAGTAAAATGTAAAAGTAAATGTATGGAAGAGCTTTAAAATTATGAAATTAGGCGAGCAAGTTAGTGCTACTAATGAAAGTTTAAATAAAAAATATGATAACTTAAATGAAGTTTTGAAAAGTGTGAAACAAGTTAAACAAAAGATAGTGCTGGATTTAAAAGATTACTTAACCCTTCCACTGTGCGAAATACGCATTAGTTCGTATGTATAATCTACATGCAGCAGTATCCTTTTTGCCTGCACCAGCTGTAGCTGCGCCGAAAAATATACAATCACTTGAGTAGACGCATACATACAAAAGTTCATGAGTGTGTGTATGTTTACGTGTGTGTGTGTATGCGCGTAGCTTGCGCGATAACCACTTGTGAATATCGAGAAATATGTATGTACTATTTCATGTGAATTTTCAAGGCAAATATCACACAGCACAACAAAAATTCTTGAAAATACTACAACAATAGCAATAAAAATTTGCGCAAAAATATACCGCACGAAAAAGTACGTATACGCAGTGGAGTGTGCAGCAGCAGGAATAAGGAAAGAAAAACCGCTTCAAAGGCTATTTATGTGTAACTGACAACAGTTAACAGCAATGCAATGACACATTGTAGCACAGCTGCAACAACAACAAAAACAATAAAAATATAGACAATAGTAAATTCCCATTGCCGCCAACGCAACAGCAGGCTGTCAGTTATTTACACTGCTGCTGTCGCCGTAACCGCCAACGCCAACACCACACTTATCGTTGCCATTGCTATCACTCCATTGAATATTGTTGCTTATTTACACTGAAGGAAATGGATTTTCAAAGCCACAACAACACAAGCGGAAATAAGTTTGTCTGCCCCAGCGACAGGCAACTGGCATTGAGAGCAAAGTAAATATATTTTGGAATTATTACAAATGAAATATATACACACATACACATTAGACCTCATTAGACCTACCTCAGCAGCAAAGAAAAAAGTTAGCTGTACATCGCTGTGTCTAAAGTATTTTTGCAAGGCAATTGCGAAATGTTGTTTTTTTTTTGACCGAAACTATATTTTTCGGTGATGTCTACACATCGATGGCTGAGTGGAAGATCGACCTATCTTGGCAGGCAGTTCGAAAGCGACCTATCTCAGAAGGCATTTTTTTTCGAAGTTGCCTTGCCCAAATATTTTACGATTCGAAGTTGTACGGCGACCTTTTTTTTGATACGGTCTAATGTACATACATACATATAAAGAAATATAGTTATAAGGTAATTTGTACATTTGCAATTCAATATGCGTATAATTTAACCGAATGTTGAAAAATTAGTTCAGATACTATTACATAACTGAATCCCAGACAATTAATTAAAGCAAGGAAGTCACGATTTTGGAATTGTAAAGTTTGCCCAGTAAGCAATATGTACAATTATTTGATTATAGCTGCAGTAAATTTCCCAAAGTTTGAATTGTGAACATATAGTTTGAGTTTATTTATTATTAAAAAATCGATTTGGAAAAAGTAACATCCTTAGAAGTCTCTGAAAAAATGTCGTAAAAATAGAATACTGAAGTCATTAAGAAGACATTCGGAATTAATTGACAAAATGTTTTGTATTCGAATCTTAAAAGAAAACAATTGTTCTAAGCTCATTTAATTCATTTTAGTTTAATTTAATGCAACTTAATTAAATTTTATTTTATTTTATTTTATTTAATTAGTTTAATTAAATAACTTTACTTGAATTAATTTAATTTAATCTAAATTTATTTTATTGTATTGTATTTTAATTTAATTTAATTTAATTTAAACCAATTTAACCTAATTTAATTTGATTTAAAGTCCTATCATTTCGATTCACTTCAACTCACTTAAAATCGTTTAACTTCATTTCATTTCCTTCCTCTTTAGTTCATTTCAATTCATCTCATTCCCTCTCACTTAATTGCATATAATTTGAATTGATTTTATATAATTTAATTTCACTTCTTTTCACTTCACTTCATTTCACTTCACTTTACTTATTTTTATATCACTTTCCTTCCATTCCACTTTATATCTCTTTATTTCACTTTATTCCCTTCATATAATTTCATTTCATTTCGTTTCGTTTCATTTCATTTTATTTTACTTAATTGGATTTGATTGTAATTAATTTAATTTCGCTTCTTTTCTTTTAATTTCATCTAATTTCCATCCATTTCCTTTCACCTCATTTCATTTCATTCCACTTCAGTTCATATAATTTCACCTTATTTCCATTTAGTTCATATTATTTCATAATACTTCATTTCTTCTTATTTCAATTCCCTTCTCTTCATTTCATTTCATTTCACTTCTTTTCATTTTAGTTAATTTGATGTGATATTATTTTATTTTACTTCATTTCATCTAATTTTCTTTTATTTCATTTCCCCTCATTTTATTTAATTTCATTTGGTTACACTTCACTTAATTTCACTTCCTTTAACTTCTTTTCACTGCGTTTCGTATCATTTCGTTTTACTTAATTTGGTTTTATTTTATTTCATTTCATTTCACATTTAATTTAATTCTATTTTGTAAACTTTATTTTCTAATTTGATTTAATTTTGTTATTCTTATGAGATCAAAATTGGTTACCTTCAACATAACTTGCTTATTGGGCAGCACTCTTGTTAGCAATTTGGTAGTTTATGTTTATTCTTTTATAAGGTTTTTTTTTTGTATTTTTGAATAGCCAGTTCTATTTTTCCGATCTTGAAAACAACCAACAAAAATATTAGAGTTAATAAGTGAGCTTGAATTTTAAACCTTGGGAGCTATTTGCTTCAGAAATACCTATGTGGTTTGAAGCTAAGATCTTCAATATGTGCGTTTGCATATACCCATATTTACATTACGCATCCATATTTGTTTCAAAAACCATATCCGCTTGTCACAGCGTGCAGCTGACGCAGTCAATGTATATCTACATACTACTTACTTGATTGTATGCAGACAATTCACTCGATTTCATGTATTGTTTTTGGATTTTTTTTTTCTTTTGCAATCGCCATTCATTCTGCCCATCCCGTGCTGTCGTCGCAGTGTCGTCATTTCAATACTTTTTACCATGAGTAAAAGTGAGTTTGTGTGCGACCGCACGTCATTTGCCGTTTTGCGGTTATAGCAAACAAAATGAAAATGTGAAAACAGCGGTATGGTGTTATAATGAATATTATGTGTGCCAGCGTAGCAATGGCTCTCATAATTAAATCAAGTGTCCGTGCCACGCGGTTACGCGACACCATTACAAGAGTTTATACTTCCCCTCAAACAAAGTAGTTGCGCGTAGGGATTGCAATTAAAATTTACTACTCGAATAATGTAACAAATGATTAATTGAAAGCCAAAAAATTGCAATTAATTAAAAGATATTAATCGATTAATCGGCATTTTTCATTATTTTTTATTTAAAAAATTCATAATGCCGGTTTCAATATGGTAGCCAAAAAGATTAAAATCGATTAGATTCACTTAAAAATTTACAATCGAAGATTATTAAGGTTGAAGATTATTAATAATAATAATAATACTAGATTGGCACTTACACATGTAGGTGTTTCCATGATGTCGGACGTGATATTCGTACGACTTAAGAGTAAAATAAATCATACGAAAACGGAAGTCACTTATAAAACGAATTTGCCGTTGTGTAGCTTTTATACCTTCCTTTGGTTGACAAAAAAATTAAGTTTTTCATAACCTTAATACGAAATTTATAGTTATAAAGTTAAACGCATTTACTTGCATTTTCGGTTTACTGCTAATCACTACACCACAGCGACCACGAATCTGAAATCAGATTTAAAAAATTCAAAATGGAACGGAAAAGTTAAAACGTGCATACATACATGGCGTATGAAATTTCTCTGAGTTACGCATACGCCACGTATTAACATGTGGTTCCAAGATGAATCCGCCATTTTGAATTTTTAAAATCTGATCTTGAATCAAAGACCTCAAAATACCCCGAGAAAAACGGTTCAAGTTAATCGGATCGATTTAAATTTTTTGTCCGCCATATTGAATCCGTCATATTAAATATTTTAAATTAGGCCCCAGGTTAGTAATTAGAAACCCCAAAAACATAAACTTCTGTTGCTGTCTTTTGTTTACTGTAGGGTTCTCCAGAAGCCAATAGTTGTAAAGAGAAATTTAATTTACGGTTAGTTTAGATGCCATAGTTCAGACGCCATAAGGAATTTTTCAAAACGCCACACTGCTTTCAACCTTAGTAGTTGTAATTTGTCTCATAGAGTTTTGACCAAAGAGCAAGTGAAATTTTGAAAAAAAAACGCCTTCATTTCTTCCCATGACTCAGCAGTGTTCCGTTTAAAATCTAAAGCTTGACAATTCAAAGAGTGTATCATTCCTCCATCGCCTTTTGAAACCGAGTTCACGTAGTCATTAACGAAACCAGTGATGTGGTTTGGCATTGTAATCAGTGGTGCGACTTTAAGAAATTGCAAAGTTGTTTGACTTACAACCAGAGTTATTATTATTATTATTATTGTTGGCGATAAAACACTGCAACCTCAGGATCTATTGTGCCCCTTCATGGATTTATAGTGTATCTATTAATCCAGTATCCGAGAGAAACTTTAGTATGGAACCTAAATCTACGGATTTCACTTCGCCCTCGGTTATTAGAGGTCCACCCAGGTGTTTTTTTGTTTGATCATCAGTGCAGGACACCCTTCTAAGATGTGCTGTGCAGTCTCAATATCCGTCCTGAAAAATCTGCATCGCTCCTGCGAGTAAATTCCCAGTTTAGTCAGGTTATAGTTCAGCCTGCAATGTCCTGTCAGGATTCCTGCAAACAATTCTTAAGTTATTCTTGGATAAGCTCATACATTCTTTAAAGCGTTTTAGGTTATATGTATGTTCCTTAAGTGCTTTGGGTTGCCCTAGACCTGGTCGATTATGCCACTAGCGGTTTCTGTGAGCCTCTTCCTCTAACCGGATCAGAGCAGAGAGTTTCCTAAGTCACAGACGGGCTTTGGGCCGATGGAAGGGGTTGATGCTTCTTTCATCGCAAGTTTATCGGCAATCTCGTTTCCTTCAATACCAATATGTCCCGGAATTCAGAGAACGTAAACTCCATTTGTCAGACCAAGAGTATTCAGCTTGTTAAGGCACTCCATCAACAGTTTATATGGTACCTGATGAGTCCTGGAGACCTTGATAGCCGCTTGACTGTCAGTCATTCTGAATGTTCCAGCCTTTAAAATAGACATATGTATGTTTTCCCAAGGGTTTCGAGTATCTTGGCTTCGGTCCAACTACCATGGTAATCATGTTTTGGTTTATCGGATATGTCTTGGCACTTCTTTGTCAGAATATCCAACTTCCTACGAATAAGAGACCCTTCTGCTCCGATATTGGTACCAGTCATCCTTAGTAAAGCTCTATTCACCTGAATCTGTATGTGACTATGAAGGAGGGGTAAAATCTAAAAGAACTTCCAAGGATGCGGTTGGACAAATTCTCATGGCTCCAGTTATGCATACACAGGTCAGGATTTGTATCTTGGAGAGCGCTTTGATTGTGTTCCAAGTTATGTAGTTCTATTAGCCCAGCGTGTTTTCGAATTTCACCCTGCGTATTATTACAATGTCCTCAGTGTACCCCTGGCAAGTTAGCCCAGTATTTGTTAGTTCTTGGTGCAATCCATCGACGACTATGTTCACAACCATGGTTACCTTATTGGTAAATTTTGAAATGAGATTTAGTACTATTGTGATATGAAAAAAAATGTTGTAAGTGGCAAAAGTGCCCTGATATTATACTTATAATTTCGTAATTAATCGATTAATAGTTCGATTAATCAGAACATAAATAAATTTTATTAATCTTGTCATCCCTAGTTGCGTGTTC